AGTCGAGTTGCGTTCTGAGAAGGGCAAGATATCTTGGACGGGAACCCGTATTTAGACGATGGTAACGGAGAGAAGGGGCGCAGTCGCGGTGAAATAGTCCGTTGATCTTGATTTAGGAAGGCAGTACCACGGTCATCAAGATGAGCAAAACAGCAGAGATGTTTCGAAACACACAGTAGTCCACGGGCCCGATAAGTGTCAGGGTCGCTTTATATAATTTCCCCCATTTGGGCCCCGCGCGCGCACCCGTACCTCATCATCGCAATCTCACCGCGGCCGCGAATAGTGAAGCAAGCTCGCAAGCTCAGCCCCCGTCGCTTTGCATCCAACAGCTGTCCAAGCTCCTCACGATAGCTTTTCAGGGTCCTCCAGTGGGAGTAGCATCACGAGAACAGGGCGGCAGGCCATTCGGGTCCACTTGCACTATTTACCATGCCTCTGGAGAGGATGATGTCAAGGTGCATCACCGGAGGGCGATGGAATACCTCAAAGCCCCTGCCTGCTCTGATGCACGGAATGCTCTTCCCCTTCCAAACAGCTCCCGCGGGCCAATCTCTCTTGGCCTCGTCGTGCTCCTATCGCATGCAAACAGCTATAGCATGGGACCTACTGCCGCCACAGCCGGCCTATGTCTTCATAATGAATGCGGCGTTAGGATCGTGCCGCAACCGAGCCAGCTGTAAGAATCCCCGAAACCATAGATGCATATCCTGATTGGGCTTGCAACGTCGACGAGCACGTCAGACTGCATTATCCTAGGCGTCTGCATCAATCAGCAATCAGCCACCCTTCTAGCGCGTTCGTCTCAAGATTGCGCGCAGCGTCAGGTGTCACTACTATGGACAAGCAACGTCATTAAACGCCCCAATAGTCTTTCTGCGATGCCAGCAGTACAGGGCGCGGTACAGGTCGAAGGAGACGCTGTATCCGGCACGGAGCGGGCGAAGCTACGAGCACGTTGTTGAAGCATTGGTGACGAACAACCCTTGGTGGGGGATAGAGGGTACATGCCTGATGCAGAAGGCACACACGTGGCAGGCTGCAGGAGCGTTAGTACGAACCAACATGGTGGGTAAGGCTGAATTTTGGTTGGTGGCGCCGTTTGATACATCGGCAAGGAACAGGGGTGGCTTGGTTTTCCTATGTAACCACCCAACTCCACCTTTCAGGCACAACGCTGGATGCCTTCAGACGTGTATACGCTCGCACTAGGGAAACCCTCGCTCTATAGCATGCACAGGTAGATTCTGAGTAAGAATGACGGCCTTATGCTATCACTACTCCATCACAATCACCAGTGAAACGTGTGATGGGGAAGTCGTGGACTGGCATTGAGCCGTTCGACGGTTCGACTGGATGTCCACCAAAGAGAAGTGATACCATGTCTCAAACCGTTTTACCATGGTAAAGGAACTCAGTCTTGAAGAATTCCACGACTATCCCCTCGCGGAAGACCCGTCTATCACTCCGACATTGTTCTAGACCATTTCACCAAATGCTACACTGAAGTGACTGGCCAAGAAAACAGCACTAGCATCCTTGGTATCCCCCAAGACATCACCAGCAAAGTAGGTTCAGATGCCGTGTACTCCTCTTCGTAGCGTAACCCTAGCGTTTCCGAGACGAACGCCCAGCCAAGGTAACACGTTGAGACAGCGGGCCGAAGCCAAACTCGGGGTTCCTAGAGAAATGAGCAGAATGGGCTGATCCACGAAGCTTAAGTATTGCAAGTCGGGCTTGTAAGGGTCTCAACTGGGACATGTCTCAACGGAAGTAAGGCCCCGAGTCTAGTCCACCTTGCCATGCTGTGCCACGAGAGGTCTGGCTGATTGTGCCACACCTGCATCGTAGAAGTCTACATTAGTTAAGAATCTTGATGGCGTTGCATTCTTCATGGTCTAGACGGGAACGCACTTATTTAGCATCTCTATTTGTACGACGTGGCGCTGTAGAGCAACATTCCCGTTTGCATGGAAATAAGGACGCCAAGTAGCACGTGAAACAGTCTACCGTCAAACCTTCTACAGAACACCATGTTCCTCTCGAAACATAGTCTGATCGGGCTCTGGTGAACATGTGAATAGTCAGGCCACAATCGACACGCGGCCCAAGGGCTGGTAACACGCCGCAATTTCGAAATTCGAGGCGTGAAACCAGGACCTAAACGGAAGGTAAACTACCAATCCAGGATCTGCTGAGAATAAGAAGTAGGATCAGGCATCGGCAAGTCCGACATAGCGACGCTCACAGGAGTTCCTCATTTCTTAACTTTCTGGGAGTTTGTCCGAATACTCAACGGCTGCCAACAAGAACGGATCCTTCTCTACAACTTAGCCTTCACAGCCGTCCTCTCCATGCCCGGCCCATCCCAGATGTCACGCTCAACAGCTCTCGTGTTGATATACTGCATGCCCAACTGCTCCACCTTTTCCACACCCAGTAAACGCATGCACGTCTCCGTTTCCGCCTTCAGGACTGTTGTGAAATGTTAGTACTAGATCACAGAAAAAGGGTGATGTCAACAAAGACTTACTCTCAAGAACCCTCGCAACACCCTCCTTACCACCCGCACCCAATCCAAACAACGCCGCCCGTCCCACGCCCACACCTTTGGCACCAAGACAGAGTGCCTTGACTACGTCTGTCCCGCGCTTGATACCGCCGTCGACCCACACCTCGATGCGATCGAATACTTCAGGGCAGTACTTTCGTATCTCGAGAAGCGTGTGTACGGCCGGTGGCGCGGTGTCGAGAGCTCTGCCGCCGTGGTTTGACAGAATGATAGCTTTGACATGGGGTGCGTGTAGAGAAGCCAGGTAGGCGTCTTCATGTGTCTGAATGCCCTTGAGCACAATGGGCTTGTCAGTGTGTTTCGCTAGCCAAGGTAGAGTGGAACGCCATGTCAAATCTGCGGCTGTGCCCCAGAATAACGACTGACCCATGCCCATTGACTTCGGCTTTGGCTTTTCATCTTCGCTGGCTTGTGTGGGTGTGACTGCGCTCGTGCTGGTCTTAGACAGCGATTGTGATTCCTGGACCGAGGCGCGCACGGGGAGGTTGGAGCCAACGTTCTTGCTGCGCTCGTCGTGTTCGCGCTTACCGGGGACGGGCGCGTCGAGCGTCAGGCAGATGAATTTTATACAATCGAGTTTGTTCATGCGGGCGAGGATGGCTTCGCTCTTCTGGCGCTCGTTCTGGACGTAGAGTTGCCAGCCAAAGACCTGGCCTGGTGTGGCGTCTGCGACGATTTGTTCGGGCGTCTGCGAAGCGTTTTGGGAGATGATTTGCATGGCGCCGTATTGCGAACACGCTTGCGCAATGCCCCATTCGCCGTCAGCATTAGCGAGACGCGCCATGGCGGCGGGCGAGACGTAGATGGGGAGTTTGACATTGTTGCCGATGAAGGACGTCGATGTGTCGCAGCGGGTGCAGTCAACGAAGACGCGTGGCCGCAGCAGTATGCTTCGGTATACGCTGTTATTGAAGGACTTGCTCTGCAGGTCGTCACTAGCTGAGAAGTAATATGCCCACGCTTTGTATGGTATCTGCTTCGTTGCCACCTCTTCGATCTCATCGAGGTTCAGCAGGCTGTCCAGATCCACCGGCCCTTCATCTTGCGCCTCGCCCGTCTCTTCCGGTGTCTTCTCCTCTTTCGGAAGCGTGTCTGTGTTGATGGTGCCGAGCTTATCGGAAGCTTCGAGGTTCTCTTCGAGGATGCCCGGCGGGTGGATGGGATCGTATTCTTCGGTTGCGTCGGTGCCGGCGAGTTGGAGGATGACTTTGGAGCCGCCAGGGTGCTCGGGGATGAAGCGCGTTACATCGTAAACATTGCCGTACAGAATTACCCAGCAGCTTTCCGCTGTGTTGTGCTGCGCGACTGATTGGGAGTGTCAGCGATGAAGGCTCGATCGGAATGCGGAAGCGGTAACTGACCCTCGGCATAGTCGAAAACCTTTGACATGGTGCCGTGCGTTCAAGTAGTGGTACAATACGGAATATTCACAAGCAAACACGCAGAAGACGCAAAACAGAACTCTATGAGAAAAGTGATGAAGATTGGAGAACGAATGAATTCAATTGTTCCGACGACAGAGCAGACGCCGACTTCTTTTAGCCAACCCCAACCTGTGGGGAGCTCGGGGTAGTGCCATCCCGAGTCAGGCAAGACGGGCCGCATTTCTTCTTTTGCAAAGCTACCCCAGGTAAGCCGGATGTACTGATGGCTAATTGGCGGTCATTTGCTGTCTAGATCTTCTGACCTGATGCTGTGCTAGCTCCAACGCGGTGTACTGTTGCACCTCTCTTCAGTACAGCTACACGATGACGATATTAGCCTCAATTGCCGCGGTGTTTGAACGTCAATCATCCACATCACTGCATCAAGTCCAAGCGCTCAGCGTTTATAAGAACCGTGCGGTATTTAATGCTTTTGTGTTTTATGGGTATCCCTGGCCAGATTCGCAGCTTGCGAAAAAAGATGCAGCATCGCGTTCCGCCCACCTACGTATTAAACAGCCTCTGGACTAGATGCGGTGCCTTCGCTTTTTGCTCTCCTCTCACGTTGCAGCACTCTGGTCCCTTTTCTCTGCCAACCGTCGTTCAAGTGAAACTTGATCCCATACTTCTTTGTCGCATCAGATTCGTTATCCTTCGCATTTTCGGCATCATCGTCATCGCTATCGTTATGTGTCGATGCTATGACGAGCTGTTCCAGTTCGCTATGAATATCCCATCGAGAGGCACGCTTTGACGTTCTGAACTTTGATGGGCCAGGCCATGTTTTGGGAGATGATTCTGCAATGGAACGCGAAAGTGTTGGTCTTGCCAGTCTTCCACTTCGCACTGCTTCTCTGCGCCGATGTACCTGATACTTGGGTCGCTGGAGAAATCTTCCGCGCTGGGTATCATCTGCGCCAACTATTAATATGACATCCAGACTGGATATCAAATGGACCAAGGTGCTAGGCGATGGAATGATCAGGAGCGAGGGGGGAAGATGTTCACCAACCCTCAACCGGAAGATCCGGCCAGCCATGCTCTAGCTCGCCCTCATTCGCAGCCTCTTCACCCCAGTCCATCTTCTCGAGCTCGTTACGGAAGAAATCTTGTTCCTCCTCCAGAACGCCAGGTTTAGCACCTAAGCTTTCGGGGTATCGCTTGAGGTTGTGCCAGTGTGTAAGTGATCGTAAGGCCTGCTCGAGCGGAACACTTTCGTCGACCTCGGCATCCACGTCACTTCCTGCCAACCAGTCGTCTCGGAGCTCAGGTCGACAGTGCAAATACACTGCAGTGATGACGCGCATGTTCGACTGTCGCCACTTGCGACCGCAGTACGGAACTTGGTTCTTGAATAGCTTGAGTGTGTACAGGCGTAGTTCCGGCTGTGGTACCTTCAGACTCTTGCGAAGGAACTGCGAAGACTTGTACGAGACAAGCATGAGGTTACGATGTGCCTTATTCTTGCAGATCTTCTGCATGATCCGCAAGTAGTTGATTGACGTGAAGAACGCGCGCCATGAGAAATTGGTGATTGGCTCTTTAGGCAGCTCGTTCGTTGGAAAGCCGAGCTCGTCTACCTCTGGAGGTTGTAGCTGGGCAGGTGGTAGGGCTGGCTCAACACCTGATTCGTTCGAGTCTTCCCTGGACAGACGGATTGGGGGTGGGACGGCGTCGTCTTCGTCAGATTCGCCGTCATGCGCTTCTCCTTCGTTTCCTCCAACGCGGTCCTCTTCAGAGACGTTTCTGGAATGTGTCCGGCAAAAATTGAAGAAGTTCAACTCTTCCTGCTCACTCTTGAAGTTCACAATCTTCTCCACCTCTTGCAATTGCAGTAGCTTCAAGATCAACGGAACGTAGCTTGAGTCGACGAGTAGTTGTGTGATATACTCGAATTTGAGGATGTGGGACACTTTGAACCATTTGAGGATCAATATAAGAGTGCCGGTGACTGCTTTATCCAGGACTTCTTGTGTGCGCATCGCGTCAAGCTCCTCATTCGTCGCCACGGTGCTACCATGTCCGTTCATGCCGCTCATGTCAGGCCGTCCGGCTGTCGTGCCGTTCTGGTTATCCTGAAATTGGAAACCGCTCTGGAGCCCGTTCGCGCCACTGGACTGTGTCACAAGTGCCGTGACGTGCGCAAGGATGGCTTTAATCAGAACAATTATTAGTGACTGTAGATTAGGCAGTGCGATGCGCTAGTGTACGGTCAGCTGGTATATCCTCATTGAGTTTGGGCCCACTCACGTAGAATTCCTCGACCAAGTGCAAGCGCTCCTCATTGCTGCCGGGTGTGAGTTCTTTTGACTGAGCTTTCTCACTCGGTTCGAGTGACAGCTCCTCGATATCAGGGTTCTCGTCAGGGCCTGTCCAACCGCGCTCGTACTTCATAAATGCGACACGTTCCTCCCACAGCTGCTTCATGGCACGCGTGGCCTTCATGCGTTTAGCGAACAGTTCCGCGGCTTCCAAGATGGAAGCAGGAATATCTGAGCCCTCCCACTTGCGTCCCACCAGAAGGTCCTGTAGGTCGGTCGAGCCCTTTCCGCCCAACTTGTTACTAGACTCATCGAGTGGCGGATACAAGAACGGGAACAGTTGGTTTGTCTGGTAGTTCTGCTTCTTTCCACCTTTGCCACCGGGGCCTGCAGGTGAAGGAGGAGGCGAGGGTGCCGGAGTTGCGATATGAACCGGTTGATGCAGGATGGATGTGCTGTTACCGTTTGTGTCGCCTAGCCCAGAGCCGAATACATGGTTGCCAGCGACCTTGTTAGGGTGGTTCTTCAGTGGTGGCAAGATGGAGTTGTTCTCTGGCTCAAGAGGAAATACGGGAAGCGGTGGATTGTACGCAGGATACTTGGAGCTTATCTCTTGTCTGAAGAGGTGATAATCAAGAGGGGACGCGGTGATGAGTGGCTGACCCTTGGAATCCTCCGACTCAAGGCTGGTGTCCCGGAAGGTCTCTTTGACCTTGGCAACTTCTGCAAGACCGCCGAAAGTCACCAACATGGCCTTCCAGAGTAGCAGTGAGATCTTGCTAAGCGGTAGATTGATCGACTCGTCCCACCGCAGTTTCGCGATAAGATCCACGAATAGCATAAGGAGACCTGGCTTCTCTAAGTCGAGAATGGCGCTTCTGAGGGTGCGGCTATCCTGCGTCTTTTCCTCATCGCGTGCGACTTCCAGCAAGATATAGACTGCAGTCATGGTACACCATATTTCGCGTCGTTCTGCCTCTTTCGAATCGCGTTGAGCATCAGGTGTGACATCTGCGCCGCATGCTCGCAGGAGCGACGAGCTGAGTGCGTCCACGATGGTCTGTACGCCATTACTCTCGGCGAGTAGGTGCACATTGCGCTTGATGAGCGAGGCCTGCCGGCCAGACTTGATGTATGCAGAGTTGCGCGCTGCGGTCGTGCTCGACTCTGCTGCCTCGCCCGCGGCTGAGTCAGGGAGCCCTGCAGTCTCATGCCAGCATCCCAGGAGGACATAGACCAATGCCTCCAGCTTCTTCAACCTCAACACAGGGTCGACTTCCTTGAGTCCCCCCAATAGATGACGCACGAAGTCCCCGTGTTGTGTCGTCGTCGCTGAGGCCCAGTCCAAGCCGTCCTCGCCATTGGACACGTCGTTTAGGCCATGAAATGCGCTCCACTCCAATGCGTAGGACGCCTGGGTCTTGAGCAGCATTGCCTGCTCCTCGACGGCATACGAGAACCACTCCTCCAGCTCCTCCTCGAAACATGATGCGTCATCGTATGTGAAAGCGTATGGGGCGGGCTCGACCTTGGGTATGCCCCTCACGAGGTTCTGCAGTTGTGCGAGCGAAAGCGAATCGTTCTGTGGCGTGTCGGGCGGCGGTACAGGCGGTGCGGGCGGGGGCAGGTTCGGCGCGGGCGTAGGAACTGAATTGCCTCGTTGCAGGCCGGGGCGGGCTGGCAGGGTGAGGGGAGGCCCGGCTTGGGGCTGGTCCTGGTCCTGTTGCAGCAGTATGCGCTGCTGCTCGGCGGTATCGAGGGGCAGATTGAGCTCTTCCTCGGGCTCCGCCTCAATGACAGGAAAATCAGCGCTCGAATTCCCGATCAGCTCAGCTGCATCCAGTATGGGAGGCACGAGTGGCTCTCCGGGCACGTCGCTGTCGGCCATGGTCGGTCGCGTGAATTATGTGGGTGTGGGGTTGTCAGGTCGGTGGAAACGTGCTACGCCCACCATGTCTGGGACTCCTTTCACGTGCGGATCATGGTTTTCAGACGGATCAGTTTGGGAGAGCGGCGAGGCAAGTGTCTTCACGGTTCAAGAAGGTGAGTTGCGCTGTGTATGCACGGCAGGTGGGATGCGCCGACCGCTAACGGATGGGTAAGCAGGGCTCCGATTAGCGCGACTCCTGCTAAACATTCACTTGTTTCTAATGCCCGTATGTTGCAAGTCATCCCAACAAAACAGTCTCATATTACTCATAACACAACTAGCGATGGGTATTGCGTACCGAAATTGATGTACCATTGCAGAACGCCCCCTTGCTGTAAAATGTGTCGCTAGCCCTCAGAAGGCGTAAGAGAAGCCCCGGTTGTCTGTATGGGAGAGGCCAACCCAGGCGCACCGCGATCGCTGCCGCCAGATGCAAACGAATAAGAAAACCCCGTCCCTAAAGAGCGAGCGATATCTCCACAGCTGTACGCCGAACATAACATAATCTGCCGCACTGCCAGTGCGGGGAATGAACAGTAGACCGACAGGTCGAGAAAAGAAGTACAGATATGTGTCTTCCGAACATGGCTATCAAGGCAAGATTGCTATCGCGTCGAAGAGATAGTCGAAAAGCGAGGCTTCCTCCCAGTTCTACATGGGATTAGCTCCCGTCTGTTCGCCGTTCTCCTGGCGCTCTTTGATCTCGTCGGGTATGATGCCGTTGGCTTCGCATGTGCGCTTGTAGATATTGCACTCGTCCCACGCCCGTTGGCATTCAGCCTTGAACTTGTCGCAACTAGCGCTGAGCTCGGTGATGGCTTGCTCGGTGAGTAGCTTTTCAAGCGTCCACTTCTCAATGTTCTGTTGCTCGTTCTCCTTCAGCTGGGTAATGAACTGAACGGCCCGTTGCAAGATGGAGCCCTTGTTCTTTTCGCAGCCGGGGACGATCTTGGCTAGTTCGTTGATTCCCTCGTTGATAGTCTCGCGACGGCGGCGTTCGACTATGCAGCTGTTAGCAACTGTATTTAGGAGGGCTCACACGGGTGCCTACCTTCTTTGTGGTTGTCTCTCCGGACCTTGTGCCACTCATCTGTGCCGACTTGAGGTTTGTGCGCAGAGCTTTGCGGTGGCGAGTCGCTGGGTGCTGTTTGACCGGGACGACCCGTCTGTGTAGCTGCCTTCAGAGCCTCGAGACTAAAGTCTTGCATGCCCGTTTGTTGTTGGCCGTGGTCTCCCATGCTGAAGGAGCCGTCGCCTGAGTTCTGTGGCTGGAACTGGAGTTCTGTCGCCTGGGGGACCGTCATCTGGTGATAGGCAAGCGCGGCGGCGGCAGTGTCGCCGACACTCGCGGTGTTGGTCCCACCGTTGTGATGTACGTCGAACTGTTGCTGCATGTCGTCGTCGGCGGCGTTGTGCGCGGCGAGAAATGAGGCTGTGGCTTGGTCGGTGAGGTCGTTGTTGGCGGAATGGGGAGCAGGTCGGTTCAGGCCTTGGTCGCGCGTGTCGCGCTTCCGTTTGTTGGTGTGGACGTTGTGGGCATCCAGCTTGCCGTCGGTAGGGTATCCGGCGGTATCAGCCATGGTTTCTGGTGGGGTATCTGGAAGGGATGGGTAGAAGCAGCTGGAATCCGCGTGGGACGCTAGGATCGACGTCGAGGTTCTGCGCGTGGTTGCTGAGACGGCGAGGTCTGGGATGTACAGGACCAATGGTGAGTGAGGGCGCTGAAGTCTGGCTAGGACACAGTGCTCCTTTGGGCGACCAGGAGGTAGCCGTGAGTGAGTGAGTTAGGCGGGTGACGTATGGGAAGGCTGGTGAAAGTGGCAGAAAGACGCGCTCGAAGCGTGAGTCGCAGGCGCAACGCACCGGGGCGGGGGAGCAGCGGCGCTGTGCCCACCGGTTCACGCACAAGCCGAAGACGACTTGATGTAGCAATCGTGCGCTTGGGAAGCGCAATAGAGGCCTGCGTTCGACAAACATTAGCACGGGCGCGAGCAGGTGAGTAGGTCAAGGTGGTGCGACACAGCGCCAGCAAGCAGAAGGATTGGGCGCTTCCATTTGGCCGTTGTTGTGAGACGCAACTGTCACGACTCAAAAGAACGCCGTCGTATCGTGCGAGCGGTAGGAAGCGCACAATGGCGTCGTGCGTCGTGGTGGATGCGCGTCCATCGAGTGCGGGATGCCGACCGACAACACCGCGGAAAGCGAGCGGGCAGGCGCGAGGCCACCATGACGCCAGGTGCGCTTCTCAAACGACAGCCCGTGCAGGAGCGCAGGGTGGCATGTCTATGCAGGGCTTTCCGGCGGTCGCGCGAAAAGAGCCATGGTCACTTACCGCGATGTTCCAAATGGATGTGGATGCGCGCGAAATCAGGTGACGGACGAAGGTGTAGCAACTTGCTAGGCCGGCGACGCTTGACAGGCTGGATGCACACTGAGAAAGAGAGAAAAGAGAACAAAAAGCTCTTACCTTTCTTGAAATTGCAGACTTTGGGCTTTTCTTCAGGCAGGATCGAACGACCAACTTCTGAGTTGAATCACGAGGAAGGAGCAGAGATGGTCACATGGCAGGAGCGCTATTTAGGAAAGGAAGGCACGACTGAGCCAGCCCACCCGCTCAGCCAATCAGCGTATCGCGACACGCCATGCAAGTTTCCCCACTCCCAGCCCGCCATCGCAACCACTACGTTATCACAGTCCTGCCGACGCGAGGCATCTACTCCGGAGTAGTTAGAGCTTGCTATGCACTGTACGCTTTCGCATCACTTGCACCATCATGTCCCTAGCCACAGCGACAGGTACTTCGTTGCCCCCAGTCCCTCTTCGCCACCACGACGACAGCACCCCCGCCAGCCTCACTACGATACCAGCGTACGGATGACACCCCTCTAGACCACCTAGGCTCAGCCGACACCTCCAATACGCTTCACATGGCCTCAAGCAGAGACAAAGGTGTGGCATGTGACACGCTGCCCCCCACATTCTGGGCTATCCTCGACTACGCTATACCCTTTTTGTCATTGGTCCCATCATGCAATACACAACCATTGGGAAGATCGACTCTCACCCATCTCCTTCACTCTGCGCTCGAGTATCGATGTCTCAACTCACGCGCTGCTTACTAGGTCTTGTTGTAGCTCTGTCTATCTATCGAACGGCTCTCGGCTCTGCTCTTTTTGCCATCAGTGCAAGTATGAGGCCCAGTCTATTGCTTGCGATCTGCTCAGGTGTGATCCGCGGAGGCAAACCAAACCTTGGTTTCGCATCGATATGAAAAGATAGAATCGTGACGGGCCATTTGCATTTTTACTTACATCTCTACGTACATCATAGACAGTCCAGTGTGCGTGCTCGATGGAGGTTTTCATATCATCGGTGCAATACATCGTGTGAGGCGGGCCAAATTGGGAGCAGACAGGGAAAACCTGAACACTGGAGCCTACGTTGCCTCCAGGTCGCCTGATTTGGGTGTTCCTATCTTCATGTAGGCTGCAGGCCTGTTCAGGTTTTTCCTCATCCGAGATATGTTGCAACAAACCCGATCTTAATCGGTAGATCTGAAATGACGAATTTGGTATTGCTAGGAGTACGTTTAGTCAATCTCCTCGTTGGCAAATCACGAAACTACGTGAACCTTGGAAAATCCTGAACATCCTGGAGCCTACATCGACGTCAGGTCGCTCACGTTGCATGTTTTTATCGTAATGTAGTCTGCAGACCTGTTTGGTATAAGCTGACAGAGCGCCCGTGTATTCATCACATACGCACGTCAACCTAGGAAAAGTCTGAACACCCTGGAGTCTATATCGACATTAGATCACCTACTTTGCGTGTTTTAATGTTGATGTAGCCCCCAGACCTGTTCAGTTTTTTTCTCATATAAGGCGTGCGGCATGTTCCGCCAGTCTTGTGTATGAACAGCCTGCGCAAAGTCGCCACTCCATGAATCGTTGTTGATCGTTGCTCCATCTACGCCGTGAAACAGGAACAATACTCGAATCCGCCGTTGAGCAAGGGCCTGTAGGTGATGGACAACCTGTCGATGTGTCTCGTAGTAGAATGCGACTCGGGCTGCGTAACCCTCGGGGTCTAAAAGCGGTAATGGAGATGACACATGGCCTGTTACGAGTTGGAGCCATACGGGGCGGGACTCTGTCATGGCGAGAGCGCCGTCGGAGTACATCTCCTCGTGGGGGGTATCCAGACTGTTAAACTATGTCTCCCAAGTGTTGTACAGGTCGCGAAGTCGTGCTGTCACTCCGTGGTCATCGTTTTGGAGGATGGAAGCGTCGGCAAGATTGCTGTCCTTTGGCTCTGGGAGCCGTCGGAAGCAGCAGAAAACGACGTCGTAGATTCGTGTCAAGTCGGTGGTGGGTTCGCAGAGATGAACGTCTGTCCCGAAAATCGTCTCTGCAGCGATGGCGCTGGGAGAATCGCTATCTTTAATAGAGTATGCCTCAAAATCCACCGGCAGGATACTCGCAGAACAGTCTCCTGGAAGACGTGAATAGAGGGGAAAAACGCGTTCAGCACGTTTGGCAAATTCCCTATAGACGATTGTACCATCAGGTTTGACGCTGGCAAGGAGTGAAGTTGGGAAATTGATCATTTGCGACCAGCGTGTGAATCCTCTCACAGAGGCGCGCCGTCTCAGTCTTCGCTAGAATCGGAGATTGGGCATGCCGTGCTGTCTGTTTCCGAGAATGATTACCGAAGCCATAGATTTGGTGATACTGCCTGATTTGAGCTTGAGTATTTTATCATGATGGTCGTGCCATGCCAGATCTTCGGTTTTCTGTGCAGTGAACGCGTCCCCGGCGAAACCGTCGCTGCTGTCCGTGTCATAATCCAAGTCATCGCCTTCACCCATTGCGTCCTCGCTCATGACGTCGATGAGGCTGTTGATGTTGGGCGGATCATCATCGCTGTCCATACCCGAAGCCTTCCCCTTAACATCCATTCCATTACTCTTAGCACCCGAAGCCTTGCTCTTGACACCCGAAGCCTTGCTCCTGACACTCGAAGCCTTGCTCTTGACCCCCACACCCTTACCCTCAACACCCTTTCCATCGCTCTTAACGCCCGAGGGCTTGCCCTTGTCCTCTGCTGCATCGCCCGCTGAACCCTCGATGTACGCCTGTAAGACTTCCTGTCTGCAGCGGTAGGCTAGACCACCGCTGGTGATGATGCTATGCGCTTCGGTCAGGAACTCCTGTCGTAGTGCGACAGCAAGACTTTTGGCGTCCGAGGCCGACTTCGCGGGCCGCTTCTTGGCGAGTATCATCCTCAGGTTCCATGCTGTATATGCCCCACAGTCATTCGCCTGTTGTTGGACGACAGTGTCCTTGTAAATAACCGCCGCCGACTTCCACTGGATCATTGCAAACCGGGATGCTGGGTGGGTGAGCGCCACCAGCTCAAGAAACGGCCTGAACTCCGTCTAATACTTGCGCGCGGTTCGGTGCCGGCGACATGTGTCGTAGGTCCCTATTGTTCCTTGTCCCACTAGTTTTCCCATTGCGTGTACCACAAGCCAATGGTCGCTGTTGGGGTTCCAAGCGAAGACGAACGACAATGCTGTGTCCAGTTCGGGAATGACAAAATCGGGCGGTGGAGCTTGTCAAATGACCGCGGCGATGTCCGGGCGTCTCTCAGTGTTGGTCGACTTCCCAATGGTTTCCATGTAGATTGGCTGGTCTGTGGCGATGTACACCACGTCAGAAGAAAACTGCAGAGTGAAGTCAGTATGTATCGCACATGCACTTCGCATAATCAAGACGTACCTCGTCTTGACTCCCGCAGCTTTCAACGAGGAAGTCGACTGTAGTTGCGGAAAACCAAGCGCTCGAACTGGACATCTCGATAATTGAGCTGACGCTCACAAGCCATGGTTGTAGTGGGATGAATCTTAAGGGGATAGTCCTGTCGGACTCTTCGTATAGCTGCATCGCGATGAGGATGATGTCGCGCAGCATTCCGGCGTGTGGACACGTCTTCATACTGGTAGTCGGTTCCAGAATGTAGGCGGATGCCTTGTCCAAATCTGTTGCCTTGGTAATCTGCATTGCCTTGATGTCCGACTGGCTTGGTGGCTGCGACAAGTCGACAGTCAGCTTCACCTTTTACCGAGACTCTGGCTCTGGGGGCTGCGCGCTGCTCTGACTGAACGGGATGGCGGTGCTATATCCTTCGTGGTTATCGCTGTTCGGAGGAGGAGAGCAGTTATGCTGGATCTGTACGCCAGGTGTTATAGTAGGTGCGGTGATGGTCGCTGGGATGGCGGTGCTGTATTCTTCGTCGTTATCGATGTTCGGAGGAGGAGAGCACTCGGTCTGGCCCTGTACGCTAGGTGTTATAGTAGGTTCGGTGATAGGCGCCAGTGCAGTGATGGGCGACGCTGCAGAGGCGGGTACGACGGTGGCAGTGGGCACTAGTGTAGCGATGTTGGCAGCGGCTGAGATAGGAGCTGCGGTTGGTATGGGCGCTGCGGTGGTGAAGGTCGCGGTGGTGGTGATCGGCGACTTCCTTGTAACGAATTCTGCTAGAGGTTCCTGTTCGTCGCCGGCTTTATGCTCAGTTCTCGGAGTCTTACTAGGCTTCGGCGTAGAGGAGGGCGGTGTCTTAGGTGCTAGAGGCTTCTTTCCGTCACCAGCTTCGTGCTGAGCTGGCGTAGTCTCACTAGGCTTCGGCGTAGAGGCGGGCGGTGTCTGGGATGCTAGGGGATTCTTTCCGTCACCAACTTCATGCTGAGCTGGCGTAGTCTCATCAGGCTTGGACGTAGAGGCAGCGGGTGTGCTGTTCTTCTTGTCGTATGCTTCTCTGTGTGTCTGGTAGGCCCGCGTGGCTCTGAACTTGTTGGCGGCGTTTACCTCCTCCCTCAGGAAGGGTTGGTAGTCCGGCTCTCGTAAGATCCGATTCATGACATCAATCTCAAGGCGCTCTCGTCGGCTCTGGTAGTGAGACATGCTGGGCTGAATGGAGTGGGCAAAGCCAGGACTGGACAAAGACAACGCGGAAGAGAAGAGCAGAAGGGCAACGAAAGCGCAGCGAAAACACTCTCAATATGCTGTGGCCCCGCATTTTGGAATTGATTGTGCGCCATGTCTTTCTGTTCGAGGAAGCTGCGCAGGCGCAAATTTGCGGGGCGGTGCGTTGGAGGAAGTCGCGTTCGGGGACGACGAGCCGTACTGGGCATGGGATCCCATCTCACCCACATGGTGCCAGGTAGAGAGCGTCTGTCTGGCTGCAGACCAGAGGCATCATGTTCCGTAGAGCTTAGCAAGACAGAGTCCGCTTCACAGTGAGGTAGGTATGCTGGGGGTGCATTGGCGACCCGAGTGGATGCCTTTACAGTGTTAGTTGTCTATTAAACGCCATGAAAACTGCCACAAGGACGACAGCTAGCAAAGAGAGCCTCTTTCTTGTTTACCTGATAGTTGTAATGCAATACATCGTGCTGCAGCGCGCAAGTTAAGCCAAATTGGCCACAGCAACGAGCGCGATGCTTGCGATGCCTGCGATGCCTGCAATGCCTGCAATGCCTGCGCGCTGCAGCAGTTAGACGACTAAAGACTGCAGTAGCCGGGGAGCTGAAGATCTGGTGCGAGCACAAACATCCTAAGCATTGGGATATGTGGTACTTGAATACGGAGAGTTGTAGGTAGGTTGGAGTCTTCAAGTTAGTGGAGAGAGACCCTTGCGGTTTAGCGCTGTTCTGAGCGTGGGTGACGTCATAGATCCTGCGCTGGGTTTAGACAAATTGTGAACGTCAACCAGGGTACGACGGATTACCGCTTACATCCAGCGGATCAGTAGCCACACCAACGAAGAACATTCATTCAATAATGTCTTCCAAACGCCCGTTAACCGACCGTGTTTCTCCTCCCACAAACGTTCACGATCTGAGAACACTGCACACAGTGCGCCCTCTTTCTTAATAGAGACTGCACGTCTCTCTCTACATTTACCTTTTGCTTCTGCAGGAGATATACCGATCATGGAGCCAAAGATTGATACAAGATGCGCCTGGCGACTCGGTTGGCCCAGGCTGCGAAGCCTGCCACTGCAAAGTCTGCCAACGACCACCAAACACATGGTCGCCCACCAACCTGCGATCAGCAAAATCTTAGCTACTCATAGCGTCAGCACTCTCGGTCCTGTTCGATACGTCGCGCGGACAAGGCCTACAGAACTGGCCACCTCCCACCGAACGATCGTGTTCTATACGGATCTCGGAGAGCCGCGCCAGTACCAGCGCTGCGCCTCTGCAGTCCAAGAAATCGCTCAGTATATCCTATCCAACAACATAGACGCTTCGATCGAAGCTATCGACCGAGTGGTCGGCGAGAGCTTCACAGTCACAGCATTACAAGGACCGACGGCGGCAGAGATAGCGCATCATTGGGCGAGCAAGAGACGAACCCTTCTCCGTACGATCGCGAATAGGAAGTGGCTGAGCCTTGACTGTGTGAACCTTGGAAAATCCACCGACGGTCTAAAACCTACTATCGTCATCACAGCATCAGACGCAGACGCAGATGTCTGGGACCAGATTATAGCGAGAATCAGCGTTCTCTTTGACCACAAGCTGGAGGTAGAGCTCCTGTACGGACAGCGCAGTAGGATCGATCTGGCGGATGCTGTGGGAGATACCGAAGAGGCGGAGATGTCGGATCTTTCCCCCGAAGTAGAGGAAGAGGCGGACTTCGCAAGCAAGGAACTGGAGAAACCCAAGGGTATCGCGAATGAGTCCGAAGACGAGGAACTCTGCCGTCCCTCGCATTTCTCTACTGACATCCACCCTGGTACATCTGTAGGAGTGAAGGGAGGCCCGTCAGGAAGCGTCGGTGGATTCCTGAAGATTGAGTTCCCTGGACTGCCTACTCCCGCCACCCAAGTCGGTCTAACTAACTTCCACGTACTACGGGGAGGTGACGAGAAGCCAGTGCAACCGCCTCATCTGAGGGAAGCTTCTTGCGGCTCGGTCACCGTAGTAGTACCATCAGATCGCGACAAGACCCGGTACGTCCGAAGACGCAAACTCATAATCAACAAACACAACAGATATCTCCGCGACGCAAGTTCGAAGCATAAAGCTGTACAATCCGAGAGCCATCGGTCCAAAAGGCTGCAACGGCGAGAAGAAAGAGAAGAAGAGCGCAAAGAGCTTAAGCGGGTGGAAGAGGCATCCAACGTTGCAGGAACAACATGGGCAAGCTCAGCAAAAACCTCTCGTCCTCATCCCAGGTACACAGCGAAGCAGCATGAGAATTGGACGGAACAAAGCCGCAGTACCAACGATACAACCGAGGGCCCAGCCCTGGAGTGGGACATTGACTGGTCCCTATTCTCGATAGACGCACCTCGCTTGGCGGTATCAAAGACTCCGCGTTCAATTGATCACCGGCACTCTGCATCAGATTCGGAGATATCCGAATGGGGTTCGATACAACAAGATAGAAGCTATGAGGTCGTCAAGATCGGTAGGACTTCAGGGTGGACAAGGGGAGTCGTCAACCGTGCAACATCCATACTCAACACCAGCGTACATGCATGTAAGGAAATCGACAACACAGGTGGGAAGACCGACACCTTCAAACCGGTACTCTGCCACTCCATAGTATCGACGATGCGAGACGGAGCCCCTTTTATATCCCCAGGGGATTCAGGTTCTCTCATCCTCCTTAATGAAGAACGTCACGACAACGAGGCGTGCATTGTTGGCCTCGCTATAGGGGGTAACAAAACAACAAACATCGGGTACATGGCACCGATTGACCTGATATTGATGGACATTGAGGAAAAGGTGCAAGGAAAGGTGGTATATCCAGTGTCGGTGGGTATTAAATTGGGAGCGGACATGGACTCTTGATCGGTCCGGCGAGTAAAGAAGTATGAATATGAAGTAACGCATTCAGGAACATCCATGTCTAGAGGGTGATGGATGTAAGCAGCCAAGAGTCTACATTACGTTGGAATTTTGCCAGTTTCTGTTCTAATACTAATGTAGACTGCAGCTCACCTCTACAGTTTAACCTTTAAATGCCCTAATAATGCAAGAAGTTTAGGTTTTAATAGACAAGTTATCTACAATATGATAATAATCAAGAAATTTGACAACGATAGTACATAGTTAAGCTCTAGCGCATGGGGCTGATGTTATAGGAACAGAAAAGGTACTCCAAGAGAGGAGGTATGGCGGTACCGTCCTGCACCAGGAGAAACTCATGCGTGGCGGATGACGCGGTTAGCCGGCTACCGCCAGTGCGAAACTCGACGACGATGGGTTAGGAGCGAAGAAAGGGCACATTGCGGGCGCTGTAGTTATGGTATAACCAAAATGGGTATAAACTAGGGCTAGACGTTGGGACGATATGGCGTATTAGTTTGTACAGGCCAGGGGATGGACACCCATGGTGATCCCAGCTTGAAACCGGGCAACGGGCTGATGCGGGACTTGGTTGGATGGGGACATAGGGAGTTCAGAAGTGGAGCAACGCCCGCGGCGCTGCTTCGCACCACTGCAGTGTCAGGGAATGAGGCGGATCAACCAAGATATCGCCACGCACCTTTTCCATGCAAAGAAGGATGTTTGGCCATGTAAAATTGCAGGGCAATCAGACGAGGAGGAAAGTCATACCGTAGGATAACCTCGTAGAGCGGACGGATCGTCACTAGATATCGTAGACAAAGGGATGGGACTCGGCGTCTTCCCCACCCCTCAGACGACTCTCAGTATAGCACCACCAGCACTACGGCATTACAGACTCTGCTTCGGCATCCACTCTAGTCCTTTATCGAGAACAACATCATCATCGGCGCAGCAGTATGAGCCAAAAGAGAATATTAGAAGATGCTGAAGTCGCGCAGGTGGAAGACACCAGCTGCAAACGTGCCAGAGTAGACTCGTCTACGCCCTACCCCAGAAGAGACGTCAACGCGAAGAGGAGGGAGACTGGACACAAGAGCGACCCGATCCAGATGCAGACATCTTCTCAAGGCGCCTCCTCTGTCGTTCCACCGTCCACGCCATTATGTCGAAATGACCTAATGCCTCCGCCGTTTCCAGACCCAAAATTCGCCAAAGCCATTTTGTCTTCGGACTACGGATCGTTTCCGCAAGAGACCCAGTCGTCACAATATGGATCCTTTCCAGTGCTCTCGTCTCCATGCGCGTCCCACAGACCTCTCCCATTTCCACACCACCAGTATGAAGTCTCTTCTTCTCTACCATGTCTCCCACAACAGAGCCGGCCAAGAGAGTCACAAGGAGTATCGTGCGCAGATACAGGCCCCTATCTGACTAGTTTGCTCGCTGACTACGAACACGTCGGAGAACCAGACCCCACATACATTCCAACAACATGCTCGACAAGCAGCGCAAGTGGCAACGAGTTCGCAACATCCTATACTACGTGGCGAATTAGGTGGTGCCCCAGATCACACGTACTACACAAAGATAAAGCGCCCACGACACGAACTTCCCATTCGAGCCCAGAGTCCACCCATCCAGGGCGTCGATCAAGGTTCGTACTCGCGTGCGACTTGACACCCTACAGCTGCGGGCCACTCCATCTGATCTGGTGTGTAACCATTGATCAGGCGCTAAGATGTGTATGTGCAATGTGTGATTCCTATATCTGACATACTACCTGTCATCATCAACGTCCATGTATATCCTGCTGTTCCATCTACCTGCAGCACTTCCGGGAGGCCCTCCACACACCTCTGCTTCACGAACGCCAACTTAATCTCTGGAGCTCTCACCGCATGCTGTAACCGGTCTTTGTCCCTTCTTTCAACGCCGAATACCCCCAGCCTCTGCTGCCACATTTGAGAAATGAAACCTATGCATGTGAGGTATCTTCCCAGTGTCAACCTCATCTGGGGTGTAGAAGATGTCTCGAGCAAGGATCGAAATGGTGTTGATGTTGAGTGGACGTGTGCCAAAGGCAGCCGCGACGCGCTGGTGAGTCTCCATCGCAATGGTCTTGAAACTACCCAAAACGTCTTTGGAGCGAGGAGGATCGCAGATCAGCTGCCACTCCTCCAACTTCTTGAACAGCGGCAATTCAGCAGCCAGAACATCAATCTTCTTCACACCTTCTTGTAACAAACGACCTCGCTCCAAAGATGCCGCTATCTCTTGGCACCTGAAACCCAACACCTTGAGGTTCTTGTGGTTCTCCTGGAGAATCTCGATCGTCGCCATGTCTAGTGATGGTTTGCCGAGACTCAGGAAACACTCTTCGAGTTCGCTGTGTGAACTGAGAATATGTGCGTCAAAGTCAGTTTGCCAATCTGCACCAGCTTCTATCTCGACCTTCTTCAAAGTCGAAAATGACTTGCAGAACTTGGCGAATCCGAAAGCTTCATCTGGCTGGAGATACTCTCCATAGCTGTATATATTGATCTTGACTGTATGAAGATGAAGAGGGTCTTTTGAGCTCATCAGGTGCTCGAAAAGCTTCTTCAACCAGCAGCATTGCTTGACCTGAAGAGTGCAAAGAGTCGTGATGCTGAATGAAGTAAAAATGGCAGGCGTTAGTTGCCGGAAATCGAGGTCAACAAGACTCAGCTCTCTGAGCCCGAACGGCTTCGAAGGCAAGTGGAGACCGAAGTTATCGAAAGGGTTCTGAAGATAATAGGCCGGGACGTCCCTAGCCGTATGTCGGCCAATAACCACCAGCTCATCGATACTTCGAGTCTGGATACCCATCATCTGGATGACATTTTGCGCCACACTATGCGGGGTGCCGGAATCTAGTTGCTGGCTGGGATCGTGATCTCCTACGACGCTGATCTCCCTAGCCAAGGGCTTTTCTAGTTGCTTGTCTGATTGGAACCGGATAATAGCCGAGTGGTTGAAGATGCCACCGTCTTTGAAAGGCCCCGAGTTGCTATGACCAGGTCGACAAGTTTCGCGAAGCGGTCGCATTGGAAGATCAAGGTTGCGAAGTTTAGATCTGAGTATCTTGCCACGCTCCTTGCTGGTGAGAAGGCTGTATAGTCCGATGTACGACTTGTAATTGAGAGAACCCACGAAGCGTAGCGACACCGGGCTGAGCTTCTCCAGACGGGTGAGAAGACGCTTGAAGAGGCTTGTTCCACGATCGGTGTCCATTACAGTGATCCGGAGATGCCGAGTGAAACGCAAGTTTCCGAGAACAGTCGAGAATTGAGTGGGAGTCATCTTGGACGTTATCCGGCCGACCACGATGTCGATGTCCCGGAATCGTGCGTCCGTTCCAACTCGGTGCATTGCCTTGCAGGTCATGGACAGTTGCACTTGACTCTCCTTTCCGCACTACCCAAGTTAGCTTCAACACTCTGCTGGAGCGCCAGTCACGTTACGAATGAGTTTGAGCGAATGACAGGGAGTACGTACATAGTCAAACATCATCATAATCAGTTCATCGGGAAGATCTATGGCGGTCGCATACAGTGTAGTTACTGGAGGGGCGGCCAACGCTTTGCCGGAGCGAGCCGTACTACGAGTGAGCCTATCCCTCGCTGCCGCGCGCCTTGCCTTCCTTGCCTTGGTCCTGGAGGCGGCGTTTTTTTCTGGGGCGTTTTCTGCAACCTTGCGAGTGTCATGTCGCCTTGTCGATGTGGTTTCCGCCGTCCGCTTCTGCGTCTGCGTCTGCTTCTTCTTGTCGTCGGTACTTGGCGAGTGAGATCTGCGGCGCTTGTTGGACTTGATCGATTGATCGTGGCCGGGAGCCATGGCGGGTATTCAGTAAGGGGGATAAGGTACGATCTCGGTGTCAGTGGTTCAAAGAACGTAGAGCACGCCAAGTAGAGGAAGAAATTTCAGTACGTCTGTGCGTCTAGGCACCCTTCGCGGTGCAAGTGAATAACGTGATCAAAATACCTGACGGACGTGGTGGAGCACGAGCCAATACGGCCGCCGGGGTCCGACAGGCTGCAATAAGAACAGACTATCCCTCCCTCCTGACTGTCCTTTCTTTCCTCCCCTCCGCCCACCTTCCCACTTCTCTTCGGTACTTCTGAGTACCTCTTTTGTTCCGAAACCTTCGCTCACATGGATGGATCGCGCCGTTTACGGTGTAAGTCGAACCGTCCTACGAGGCCCATCATGCTGCCCCCAGACCTGATGGTCATACCATGTGGACAAAGGGCCCGCTACGCTGTATGACGGGTTCTTGCCGACATCTGTGAGAGCGGGCTCCTCGTGCGGGTGGTATGGGTAGCCACGGACCGAACGGAAGAAACGTGCGCTTGGCCGCTCATCTGGCGCAAGAGTTCTTGGAACTACGTTCCTTGGGCTGGACCTTGAGCACCCAACTGGGCGAGGACGTTCAATAACCGCGAGACGGACGTGAGTGACGGTACCACACGAAGGTCTCGAGACCTAGGCGAGAGCGTGTTGGGGCTCTTGCTGACGATCGAACGGCGCATCCCAACGCGCTCCGATGCGCATGTTGACATATAGTAAGCCCCCAACTCTTGCTTTTGCGAACACATAACCCCCCAATAGATTACCCGACCCCCGGGCCAATACAACGGCGGAGATGTACGAACGGAGGTCTCACGAGAGCCTAGGTGCGAGCTGTGTTGGGGGCTCGTACTGACGAAGCGGAGGATGATTACCCACCCTTTTTTCGTTGATTCTACTGCTTCATGCAGTGTGTTGAAGAAGAGAGCTACGCGAGAGTGTGTCAAGAGCACGAAACTGGTGCCCTCAACTAGATGTGACAATACGCCCACGACTCTCACCCGGTGAAGAAAGAGTCCACGTCACCGATCTGTCAGAAGGAAGGAACATGGCAGGCATAAAGCTGGACAATTGGACGATGCACATGAACGCAACGAAATGAGACAGAAGGTAGTGCAAATGAAAGCAAGGAGTGAGATGGAAAATTGTTTGATGGCTAGTAAATTCCAGCGGGTCTTTAGGTAGCTGCTGTCGTGTTGATCTCGGATGGGAGGAGGTCGGAAGACGGCCCCGAGATGGTGACGCGCGAAAATGCCACGCTATGACGTCATCACTGCGCGTCACATCTACGCGAACCTCGATGTTCTGTTGGGCGTCTACAGGTTCACACGAAATTATTGCTTTGTGTTATTGCAGATCTCGGTAGTGATTCAATCATTCTTGCACTACCGGACTCTTTCGCTGCACGTGGCTATGTCGATTCGTCCCAGCGCAATGGTGCAAAGAAGTTACTCGCCAGGTCGAACGTCATGGTGAGCCCAGGTATACCCACATCCTCCTCCGTAACAGCCCAGTACTCCTTCCGCATCTCCAGCTCCAGCTCTTCGAACAACGAACTAATTCCAAAACCATAGTATAGAAAAGGCTGTAGCTCTGACAGCTGGGCTTCAAAAACCTTGATTAGTCTCGCGAGACCCAGCATGTCTTCGTCGCGATCCGCCCAAATCTCGTCCTCCACCTTCTTCACCTTTCGACGACGCTCAGTCTTGAACGGTACGACACCCTTCTCTGCCCAGACGAAGACATCCACCATACTCGCCGCGCACTCCCACTCGGCCAAGCATCGGTAGCGGAAGCTTTGTGAGCACCAATCACAAGCGACCAGCCCGCAGATAGAGCAGAAGTTTGTCCAACTATTCGCACGATATCTACATCCTTTGCAGCGCGAGTAGCTATACTCTGTCGCATAGAGCATCTTGCGTCGCCACGAGTGGATACAGTTGAGCTGCAGGAAGCTCGGAGTACCGCCGTCGAAGATGACGCTAGCGTCGTGTGGTTTCGGGGCCAGAATTGGGACGCGTCGGCGCAGACGAATCTCTTGTCGAGCCATATCTGATGGCGGTGACGGCCGTGGGCGTGGTGGTGCTGGATCTGGTAGAGTTATAATTGTTGTCGCGACTGGAACGACATCGTCTGCAGGAGCAGCTACGTCAGCCTCGCTCTGCGCTGCGTCTACTTCGCCGTCTTCGCTGAAATCATTCTGAGGCCCGTCGATCCAGCTCAGCTCAGATTGATCGTCGTCAACGTTATGAGTTTGACCATCTTGCTCGGCTTCATCCTCGGGGTCGTGGACCACTTGCGCCGGATCTGTTCGGTCGATCTCAATCTCATCATCAGACGTATCTTCTTCTGTTGCATCATCCTCGTCGTACTCCGGTTCATCATCTTCGTAACCCCATTCGTCGCCATAATCTATATCATCATCCAACTCATCATCGTAGCGATGATCATCAAAGTCAGGATCGTTATAGTCATCACCATCATAAGCTGCGTCATTCTGCCTAATGGCGTGGCTTAGCTGTCGCTGGCCAAGTCGATTGAGTCCTGCGCGGCTATAACCACTGTCTCGATGCAGGCCGCGAGCACCAAGCTCGTACCCCTGTTCATCATACCCCTCGACTGGATCTCCGTAAGACGGGCAACCTTCATCCTGATGGAAGCCTTCGTTGGTCCAAGGTAGTAGGCAAACGAAGCAGAAATCATGACGACAGTAAGGACAGGTCATATGGTTGCAAGCTTCTTTGTGCTCCATCCAGACCCGGCAATTTGGACATGACTTTGCGCGACAGCTGCTCGAGTACTCAGGCATCCACTTCGGCCGCATTCCTGGCTCGTCTGACACTTTACACCTGTGCTCTTGACCTTCCCACTCATGCTGGCATCCGACGCAGGTGTTAGTCCCGCATCCGCAGTGCGCCACTGTGGAGAAAGCGTGGCTGTTGTCCACATGAGATCTCGGGATGAATGAGCGACACCGCTCATTGACACAATACACGCGAATGGCGCGTGGTGTGTAGTATTCTTGCGCCTTGAGTGAGTAGGTCTCGAGGACCTCTGGGCTCAGCAAGTGTTCTACAAGACGACGTGGAAGTGGAGTACAGCACCGGGCTGGAAAGGCTTCAGTGTCTGCGAGGGCAGCGTTGTAGGCGTCGACGACGCAGTCGTTGCACATGAAGTGTTCTGTACAGTGAGCGACTCCTTCGGAAAACATGAAGTCATCTCCACAGATGCAACACTCGTACTGGACCGTATCTTCGATCGGCCGCGTATCGATAGATGGGGATTCTCCGGCGCAAGCTTCCTGCTCGTTGACTACACACACTCTGCCCTTAGCTACCCTTCCCGCGGACTTTCGAGCTTTGCGCAAGGCCTTGTGATTCATGTTGGAGGACGGAGCTGGAGTTGTGTACAGAATTCCTCCTGGCAAGGATTGATCGGCCATGATTGAGTTCGGTCTGATAGGGATTTCTGGTTCGTCCTTGATCTTGCTTCGTGGGTAAACGGGCGTGCTCAAATTGAGATTTTGGTAAGTCGGTATTCAGTTGACCAGCCGGACTGGAGATAATGGGCCCGTGGTCATGGAAATGAGCTGGTTTATATAAGGGGTGGGTGCTTTCACCGCCACCTTAGTACTAGAGGCGGGCCCATCACTAGAATGGTAGGAAAGAGGGCATGATGTCTGTGCACCCCATTGACCCCAGTAATTTCTTGAGGAGTCAATGAATTGTGGTCGGAGCTTAGAACTCATCTTTTCCAGTCCGTAAGGCTGCTAAAAGGGTGGGAGTGGAACCGTGCAGAAGCTCTTGTGTGACTTGGAAGTGAGTATTGAATAGTACCTGTACTAATTTGAAGCAAGCAGTTTGTGCTTGCTATTCCTATACACCCAAACGATCATGTTTAACAGAATTCCAGTAATTGCACCGTTCAAATAGGGGAGACAACTACAAGAGCACTATCGAGATCGGTTTGCATTAGCAGTTTCTCTTTGTCACTTAAGCCCCACCGACTAATCATTACCGTTGAGTCCAATCGCACCGTTCGACCCATTGAGAAAGTCCTTCTCTGGTACTGGCACTGCAACTCCAAGGCCTTCCTCCTCTGCCATCTTCTTCTGCCACGGCAACATCTCCTTCGCCGGTACCGCCGGCCCAACCTCACCGCCCTCCTTGCGCTTCTCGGCCCATTCATCAATGTCTTTCTGCTCGATGAAATTACCATGCAGACCCAGGCGCAGCTTGACAGGTAGATGAATGACAGCCAGCGGACCCTGGGAGAGGTTCTGCGCATCAAAGATGAGGATGTCGTTGCGCAAGACGTCGAGATGATTGAGCAAAGCCATGATGTATCCCTCGCCTTCCACGAAGTCTGATGGAGAAGACGAGGCCTTCGGGACGAATACAGGCTCTTGGAATGTACATGTCGGTCCTGCCCAAAAGGTATCCTTCTTCCCCGTGTCCCACTCGTAGTGTCCCAAGACGTTGAAGAGTCCACCGGCTGGCGGGCCACATTTGGGGAAGTCATACGGTTTGCTCGGGTCGATGTTACATTGCCAGAAGTGGTTGTACCTTTTCGTTAGAACTCTATCGTCGATGCGGGAGAACTCGCCGTTGATACCAAAAAGTTTATGAGGTTGTACCCGTGTGTTGGTTGGAGTTTTGGGATCGAAGACCCAGCGGTAAGTATCAGAGACCAGCTTGTTGCGTTGGAGTAACGTCGTGGGTGTGTCTGCTTGGCTGTCTGGTGGGAAGAAGAAGAAGACGTTGTCTGAAGCTATGGTGAGGTCGACAACGATGTTTCCTGAGGAGTCTTCGTAGGAGCCAGCGACGTGGCCATGAAAGCCTGAGATCGTCAGCGCATGTCAACATATCGTAAGTGGTATACACACCATTGTCCGCACGTAGCCAGACAACATCTTCTGGCTTTCCGTTCCGACGAGGGACTATGCCGTACCACTGGTCTTCATCTGGATCCCAAGCAAAGTGATTGCCGCCTTTCTTGAGTCTTTCGGCGTTGACCTTGATTGGCGTAAGTGGCAAGATCAAGTAGTTCTTCGTGATTGCGCAATCGTGTATCATCCCACAGAACGGTGCTTTGTACCAGCATTCCTCAGTCTTCTTCCCATCTCTGTCGATCGTGTATACTACGATGTCACAACTGGCATCGTACCCATTGCCTCCAGCTTCATAGCCATAGCATATCATTTCTCCAGTGTCTGGATCGAATTTGGGGTGCGCAGTAAATGTTGGAGATTGTACTTGACCGTCGAAGTCATATCGGCCAATGGTCCCTAGTGTGACTGGATCCATAGCGAAAGGTGGGCCGTCTTCCTTGATGGCTAGCAGCACCCCGCGCCAAAAGATGATGTTAGTATTGGAAGCTGTTCTTATAATACCTTTCACCATCTCATTATCGGTATATGGGTTTCTGTATCGGCCAAGTAGAGATTTGCGCGCCTTCGTTTCCGCCTTGAACCGGTCGGTATGTACATATCGCTGCCTGTAGTCGACGTGACCGTTCTCGAAACGAAATGCTGAAACCGAACCATCGCCGTTGAAGTGTATGTCCTCCTCGTATAAGGGTGGGAAGCGATGATCTGGCTGTATACGGAAAAAAGTTCCGTTTACATCTTTGGGTATCTGAAAGGACTGAGCTTCCGCGGTCTATCTCTACAGGACGGCATACTCACTGTGCCAGTCGTCTCGAGCTCAAAGATGTCGGCTTCGAGGCGCGATGGTTTGTTGAAGCCTTGGAAGAAGCCACTATCTGGGAACTTGACTTGGTCATCCGATCGGCTCCCTCCATGATACGCTGATGGGGCAGGGTTCGCGAGAGAGAATATGTGTGCCATCGCGTACGTGCTGTGCTCTCCCGCCTGGCATCAACGTGCTCTAATACAAAGTGTCCCTCATATTACAATGCTTCGTTCTGGCAAGGAGACGCATTGGTCTGCTACCAGACGTACTGCCGTCCTCAAAGGTTACGAGTATGGATGTGGGGAGGTGGATTTGCGGGGTAGTTGGGGATGATTACAGGGGTTGTTGTGCCCGGATTGATGCGACCGCGCGGGATCGCAAGCGGGACTATTGGTCCGACACAGCATTGAACCCTGGAAATGGGACGAATCTACACTTTTGGACACGGACATAGCCGTAGCGCTGGACTGAGAGTTTCTCGTCCGATTATAGCTATGACAGATCATAGCACGCAGCTGACTCGGGGATGATAGGTCGCCTTGCTCCGTCTCCGACCCGCTAAGAGGGATGCTTTTCCGGGAAAACTGGCTATAACGCTGATCAACTGGTGGTGACTGTGAAGGCTTGCGTGGCTACTTTGGTCGCGTACACGTGCTCTATGTCTGGGGCTTGCTGCGCATCATTAGCGATGTAACTTTGAGCTTCCAATACACCTGTTAGACTGCATAGAGTAGGATGCAAAGAGATCTGAAGCCGTGGCCGCGTTGTACTTGTACGACTCCACAAACGCCACTAACGAGTTGGTGCGAGCACGAAAGATGTAACATTATTCGTTCGAAAATTCAAGTCATTCCAATCGCATTATAGCAAAGAAGGGCTACATCTTCATGCGCCATATCGACACATGCAGCGCGAGTTATGGTCATAAAGTTATTCGACATTCCAAGCTAAGCAGTCCTTCACGAATCAGATTCTGGTTTGCTCAGCACGAGTGGAGGAGCGCTTGTTGAAGCATCCTGACCAAAGTGTGGAGCTCTAAGATCATCGTCGGCGACTTGCTCACCAGTGACAGGGTGATTGTAGTGGAATGGCACGACGCGCGTGTCAGGCCAGAGCATCGGACGATCACAAAGAACGTCTGGCCCATTTGGATCCTCCGGGTACGTTTTCGAGAGGAAGGGTACATAGTTCGGCTTGGTGTGCGCCCACCCCTTTTCGAAGGTCGCGTGCCAGAAAGGGAAGTACTTCAACCTGAAGATCTTCCATGCCCCATCTTCTTTGATGTATTCGTTCTCGTATATGCCACCTTCCCACCATTGTACTAGGCCGCGAGGGTGTGTATCTTTGATGCTATCGTGGGTACCGGCTGACATCATGCTGCGGAAGCGACCTTTGGCTCGCGTGCCATCGGCGTTGACGTCGACTATGCCCTGCATCTGTGGGTGGTCGAGAAGAAAACCATGCACAGGGCCATTGCGTCCGGCTACGAAGGCATTCGCGAAGCGACCGATGTAGAGTCTCTTGACGCCCTCCTTGCCATTGTATCGGCCTCCGAGGAACTCAACGCATGTGTCTGGGTGATCGGAGTAGAGGTTGGCGACCTATTAAGATGAGCTTCTAGTCAGGTAGTTTCTTCGCTCTACTAACCTCTTTGTACAGACACTTATCGAGATAGTACCCGTAAGTGTACTGAAGCTTGCGAATGTCCTCCTGATCTGGTGTTCCCTTAGCAGGCCGCAGGAAGCTAATCGATAGCTGACTAAGCACATACCGCTCAAACGCGTTACCTCCGCCTGAAGCTTCCCCACCATAGCCTTCAATTGCTCAATCTCGCTACCCATGATGTCGGGGTCTCGGAAAGGTTATGAAAGTGCAACTCAACCGATCGCTGAGGCCCTACGCCGCTTCTTATCATTATCAGTCTAACACCAAGTTGTCAGCGATACAGGGAACTATTCCCCAACCACGTGAGATTCGCAGCAAGGGTGGAATTCTTGCGAGGGCTCCGCGAATGGGCTCGCCTATATTGGCGGTGATATGGACGCGACATGTCTGAAGCCGCGGGCTGATATTTCCGGCGGGTCATTTTGAGAACGTGTGGAGCAAGACGGCACCGAGGTGGGGTCATCGAAGCAACGCCGTGCCACAGCCTCGCTGCTTCTCCAAATTTACCGCACCTATCCCCACGGAAGAGATAGCATACGCTGCCACAATCCTTTGAACCCTTATCAAGGGACGCTTGCATATACTTGCTCTAGAACTTCTGCCATCAAAATGGGTCTACCGGAAAAAATCGAGACGCGTCTCTTTATCAATGGAGAGGTTGGTTCTCTTAAATCAATTGATTATGCCTCCGCTAACTACTTTATAGTTCGTTGAATCATCAAATGGGAAGACGTTTGACATTATCAACCCCGCCACATTGAAGCTCGTAGCAAAAGGTGAGTCTGGAATGTCAACGCAAGAGCTTGCGACCAACTTCGGAGAAAACAGACTTACGATCGTTATAGTTCACGAGGCATCTGAGCAAGACACCGACAATGCTGTTGCTGCAGCAAAAGCTGCTTTTCCTGCTTGGTCAAAATTGACTCCAGACCAAAGAGGCCAATACTTCAAGAAGTTGGCTAGTCTGATCCGAGAGAACAACGATGAGTTGGCCGCTTTAGAAGCAAGCTCTATGGGTCGCCCAATAGGCGAGTTCTTCGATGCCTATGCTTCTGCGGCGAAGTGGGATCGTTATGCAGAAGCTGGATACAGTGTGCAGGGTAAGATGATTGAGTGGGAGTTCTGCAGCAGGCTACTAACATTGACCAGGTACCACGAGCGTCCAGACTCCGGGATATGTCAACATGACGCTGCGTCAACCTTACGGTGTTGTAGCTGGCATTATTCCCTGGAACGTCCCATTGTTGTTTTTGGCCAACAAGTTAGCACCGGCTCTCATTGTTGGGAATACTGTGGTTTTGAAGAGTTCTGAAAAGGCTCCGTTGACTGTACGTCATTCTCTCCACACTCCTGCAATAGACTGACGATAGTAGTCCGCAAAAATCGCCACTCTGGTGCAGCAGGCTGGCTTCCCTCCAGGTGTGATCAACATCATCACCGGCTTCGGCAATGTTAGCGGATCCATCTTGAGCCATCACATGGATGTGCGAGCATTGTCGTTCACAGGCTCAAGTCGCACGGGACGATTGATCCAGGCAGCCGCCGCAAAGTCTAACATGAAGCAAGTATTCCTCGAACTTGGAGGCAAGTCTCCAGCAGTCATCTTCGAGGATGCCGATCTGGAAAAGGCCGTGAAGGAAACGGCTCACAGCATCCAGTGGAACAGTGGTCAAGTCTGCATGGCCAACTCGCGCATTTACGTCCAAGATACGGTTGCCGACAAGTACATCGAGCTCTTCAAGCAAAACTTCGAAAAAGAGGTCAAGATGGGTGACCCCCTCGATGCGCGTGAGAATGGCGTCAACCACGGCCCACAAGCTGATGAGGCGCAACACAAGACTGTGTTACAATATTTGGAATCGGGAAAGCAATCCGGCGGCGAACTCCTCACTGGTGGCGGCGCTCCATCGGGACGCGAAGGCTATTACATTGAGCCTACCATATTCAAGAACACGCCAGAGGACGCAAAGATCATGAAAGAAGAGATCTTTGGCCCAGTTGTCAACATCAATGTCTTCAAGACTGAAGACGAGGTGCTCGCAAAGGCTAATGCAACAGAGTTCGTCTCACGGTCCCTAGCGTGGCCAAGCTGAAACAAACATTGACTAATTCTGTCTAGGTACGGACTATATGCGTCAGTGTACACCAAAAACATCGATCGCGCGATGCGCTTCGCAACAGGGCTTGAAGCTGGTACGGTCGGCGTCAACTGCACCTCACCAGGTAAGCAATATGCATTCAACTGGATTGTGAGTGATGCATTCGCTGACTCGACGACGCTTAGTTACCGGCGTAGACATGCCCTTCGGTGGTTACAAGTCATCAGGTTCAGGACGCGAAGGCGAGCCTCTGTATTCCTTGAACAACTTTCTGGAAACAAAGAGCGTCTTGATTAAGATATCTTAAATATTGCGACATGACACGATCGGCTGCGACATGATTTGCCGTCTCTACAGCGCTATTCTGTGTTCGCTATAGATTTTGATTAGCCGACCGGCAGGTTCTGCAGGGTGGCCTTGCGCGGGCTCAATGCCCCAGCAGATCCCCCGCTAGAAATGGGATCCCTTTTCCTTTATCCTCAACTGCAGCGGGCTCGATGCTCCATGACTTCTCCACGAACTGCTGCAAGCCTGCCGAATGAAATTTTCGTATCGCCGCTAGTGTCATCTCACTCGGCCGGGCTGTCGAGGGTGTCGGATAAATATGGCCGAGTACGCGGCCGTCGCCCCGCCACGAGTTTCGGCACCCCCATCCAGCAGAGCTCCGAACGCCCATCGTGTCCACAGCAGCTGTGATCGGTGTCGCAGTAGGAAGACAAAGGTAGCTTAAGGCATCTCCGCGTCAATCAGTGCCAAGAAACTAATGACTACCTCTAGTGTATTGATCCTGGTATGGGGTTTCTCCCACCGGTAGTACGATCGTGCCGACAATGACACAAGCTGACAATCTTAAGTCCCGGGACCATGTCGTTACTGCGCACGCACAGGCGCGGTGTGCACAATCGCTACCCCAAGAAGGAAAAGGCCTTATTACCATGTTACCGAGGAAGAATACCAATGTTCTATGCGCATCCTCGAACATTTCTTCCCTGGACATGAGCTCAACCTGCAATCTCTGCGAACCATCGCCAAAGCTATCAAGGAAGGCACGTTTAATGCGGAGCCTGTCCAGCATACTGAAGGCCTCTTCAGTAATGACCAAGAGTCACCTGAGGATGCAGAGAGTGTTGATGATGGCGAGGAACAAGACGTACAGGAACTGCATGAGCCGTTGGGCTGCATGATGAAAGATTCAAGAGGGAAATTTCGATACGTTGGCGCTCACAGTGAAATACCTTTTAATGCTGCTGTGGCCACTTTGGGTATGCAAAGGAAAGACCCGTCGATCATCCCAGGCCCCAAAGTGGGCTCATATCCGCCTACTCTACCAGGCTCCTCGCCTTCGAATTCTCCTGGTTTTGAAGAGAGCTACTACCTTCCCGGTCGAGAGTTGTGCGACGTCTACATCTCCCGGTTTCTAGAGGATGTCCATTGCACGTACTGGCTATACCCAGTGGAAACCCTGCTCCGACGGATAGAAAATACATACTCCGAGTCGGCACCGCGCTCATCAAGCTCTTGGATGTGCTGTTTGTACACTATGTTCGCCATTGGCGCAGCAAACTATGTAGGCCCCAACGGTAACTCTCCGCCACCGGATTGGCCAGCTGCGTTGGACCCGAAAACATCGGAGGACTACATTACACTTGCAAAACAACTTATTCCGGCAGTATATGATGAGGCCGATGTCGATAGTATACGTGCAATGGCTACAATGGTATGTACATTTTGCATTGTTGACACTGTGTTCGGCATGGCTGACCATTGCTCAGAGCATCGCGATGGAGAACCTTTGCTCCAGGGTCAGCGCTTATCTGTATATGGGCGCTAGCGTTCAGATGGCGTTTTCTCTAGGTTTACATCGTGACCAATTGGCTGAGTCCGGAACTACATTGGAGCGAGAGCAAAATCGCAGAATCTGGTGGACACTGTTTCAGCTCGACCAGGAACTATCTTCGCGAGGCGGGAGTCCGACGGTCATAGATGAGCGGTTTACGAAGGTTACTACGCCCATGCCTTCAGAGCAGGTAAGTCTAGAATCGCCCATTCATAACGCGTCCATACTAACGGTTATGAGATACTATATCCCGGACTCCATACCCCGCTATCATGGATGGCGACATCGGTGTCTCTCTGTCGCTTGAAGCGTGAGATCATACAGTCGGTCTACATGGAACGCTCGGCCAACTCGATATCCTTCTCAACCGTATCTAACTCCCTTCTGCTGCTGCAAAAGTGGTATCGCCAGATGCCGCCACACCTCAAATACGACGTACCCGCGCCTCCCACGCACCGACGTGCGGTTGCAATCTTGCATCTCCAATATTGGAGCACCACGATACTCCTCACGCGGCCGTTCCTTCTGTACCTCGTCATCAAGCATGGGACGCTGGCTTCGAGCAAGAGGATATGGTTCGAGCGGATGGGCAAGATGTGCATTGACGCCGCACAAAAGAGCATCTCGATACTGACACAAATGGCAAACGATGGCACACTATCGAGCTTGACGGCCTTTGATAGCACATGTATTCTACGGCTGATCATGATCTTCATCCTTGCCTACGCACACACCAGAACATCCCGGTATAGCGCGCATATCGAGAAGCTGGTGGAGCTCACACGTGGTATGGAGCAGATAGGCTTTACCAAAATGGTAACTGAGGAAACTCCATTACGTCTCGCAGACCTAGGTATCACTGGCCAGGCTCAACAGAACAACGGAGACGCGAATGGGTCGAGTGGGCAGGTTCATCTCGATGATGAGATGATCGCTCAGTTATGGGGCAACTGGGATCCGTAAGTGATGACTGAATAAACCTATGTAAGCCATAATACTAACGACCGCAGCAACTTCATGACCCCGCTACAAACACAGCAAAGTCTTGATCTTACATTCGATGATTCTGGCGCCTACGACATTAATTCGGAGTTGTTGGCTTTCACGAATTTGGACGATTCCATCATTATTGACCCGTCGCAAGCGTTTTCGAACTATGGCATGCATTGCTGAGGCTTCTCGGATCATTGGTAGGGTAATAAAGGGGAGGGAGTTATGGAAAGCATGTGTGATGTATATATAGGAAGAACTTGGGAGGATTTCAGGAGTTTGCATATCATGCATCTGGCGTTTTTTTCTGGCAAGCGCGCAAGAATACATCAACGATGGGAAGAGGTTACGATAATACAAAGTATACAGGCGACTCGCCAATGTAACAAGAGTTGAAGAGATGTTTCCAATGCATGGTGATTCAGGTACTGCAGGTCTCGGCTCGTTTGCTTTCAAGACCCAAAAACTGGAAGAAAAATGTTCCGCTTTCCGAAAGGAGCTGTCTCGAGATGTTGATGTAGCTTAAAATACACGGCCCTTTGTCTGCTTCATGCCAATAACGTCGATGTTTCGCCACATGAGCACGCCAGCTATACCGATGATCCATGCAGCAGTACCTGCGATGAACAGATATCTTTGTGCATCTCCGTAAGCCCTTTGTACGGCCAGGCGAGTGGGTGATCCAACTGGGTACGACAGCTGAGTCGTGATGTCCGCGTAAATCATCAAGAAGTTTGGAAGTTCTTCCGCCGGGAGGTACTCCATGAGCTTCTTGGGAACCACGTCTTGCCAAATTGCAGAGGAGACCGTTAGTCCAATGGCTGCACCAACACTTCCACACATTGAAACCAGAGCGATGGCGACAGCAAAGTATTGTTGCTCCTTGACTGCGGCCAGGATGGCAATCTCGGCTGTGATCGTCATCACACCACCACCAAACGCGGCAAAGATCTGGCACATGACGATATAACCGATCTTGTCCGTGGGCTGATTGAAGTGGATGAGTAGTGCGGTTCCGAGCACCACCATAGGGAGTGAGAAGAAAAGAGTAACTGGTTTGAACCGTCCAGTATAGGATATGAAGCCGCCGACAAGGGCAGCAAAGATGTAGCCACCAACGCTGTAGGTCGACATGATGTAGCTGGCATGCGTAACGCTAAGGTTATTGACGACTTGCAGGATGGAGGTGAAGTACGCACTCCAGCACATGTAGCTGAAGAAGAGAGCAAAGGACAGGAGGCACGCTCCAGCGACAGTGCGATCCAGAAGTAGGTTCCAGGGGATGAAGCAGATCTCAGCATAGAATCGCTCCCAAATTCCGAACAGGATCAATAAGACGATGCCGAAGACGAGAAAGCAGATGATCATGGGGGAGTCCCATCCCTTGGCTTGCAGAGTGTAGAGGTTGAAGGGCAGAAGGAAGAAGGCGAATCCAGTAGATAGCGTGAAAAGACCAACGGCGTCGAATTCGCGCATGTAGTATTTGAACGACTCCCAGAATGTACGTCCACTCGACCGCTGAGGTACCAGACCCTGCTTCTTCGCCTTGAAGTAGTGGTAAGTGAAAAGGCCAAACAGAGGAAGGGTGACCGCCGGGACGAGAATGCTTTCCATGCCAAAGGCCCAACGCCAACCGGCTCCGTTGAGAAATGCCGTAGAGATTGGTCCGCCCAGCCAGGCGGTGATCAAAGCAGACGAGGCAGCCAGAGCTTGGATAAGACCTCGGTGGCGCAAGGATGTCGTGTCTGCGACAAACACGCTCAGACTGTATCCAACACCATTGATGCCGACGGTATAGAAGATCTGCGACGCAGCGTATGCCTCAACGTTGTTGCAAGCAGCCGACATAACAAGCCCGACAGTGGCGAGTATAGAGCAGAGCAGAAATCCTTGTGGGCGGCCAAAAACGTCCAGGACCTTGGCTATGCTGAGATTCGTCACACCTCCGATGACAGAGCTGAGGACGCTGGTGGTAGGGGTGAGGGAGTGAAGGGCGAAAGAAGAGGTAACGTAGGGTATCAAGGCGCCGCTGATTTGTGACACTAAACCCTGGATGAAGTAGACCAGCCATATGAGGATGTAGGCAGTCACCAGCGCTCCGGTGGTCCAGGAGAGCGTCACAGCCTCGATGTCTTGAACACCAGCCTGGAAGTTGGTGTCGACCGTGTTGTCGCCATCTGGGGTGTTGCTAAGATATTCTGCGTCTTTCTCCGATCCATGTGAACTTTCGTGAGGAGCATTGCGAACTTGGCTAAGAGCCGTTTTATGCTCGACTTCGGGGTCGTTTGACATTGCCTGTCGTGGGGTAACGTTGGCCGGCTAACAGATGTTGGGTACTCGCTGATCTAAGAACGAAAGTAACAGTGCTGGAGGCAGACGGCTATAAAGAGGTCGAAACGGCGTGCAGCGGAAAGAGCATGCAGAGCCTCAGCACCGAGACTGCAGGAGAAGATAAAGGAACCAAAGATACTACAAAGAGATCGAGACCACCGTAAGCCGATAAGATGTCTCGTGTATCTATCTGGCTATTCACTCATTTTGTGGCGAGCAACACTCGAAGAGGTAAAGACACCGACTGGCAGGATCAGACGTGCATCGCAGGCGTGGCGGTTTCTTGCTCATACCTTCTCCACGGCACGGGTCGCGACATGTAATCCACATGAAAACTGGGTCGTCAGCTTGGCGACGGAATTGAGAAGGCGTGGTTCTGTGCCACCCGCAGTCGCTTCCGGGTGCAGCGGTGGTGAGCCGTCTCCCGGAGGCTTGAAATGTCCTACCAATAGCACTGGCTCAGCCCCCAAATCGCGGGTAGGCGACTGTAGAAACTACTTGTCAAGACCCAACATCGAACATTATTGCATGGTTAGAGTATACTGCCGCCATGTGGCTTACATGCTTCTGATCTGCAACTCGCCGGAATGCGTCTAGCTCGAACGCCCCGTTCCAGGAATTAGCTCTAATGTGCTCAACCATGACTTCCTGTCCAGCCTGAAGATGCGCACAAAGCCAACAATCGCCACAGCGACCAATGAGAATTACCTACAATGCAGACCGCGCCAATGGTGGATCTGTATCCTTCAATAGAGCCTATGCATGCATGCGACCCGCGCAGCGCACGCTCCTTTTCTTGCTGACATGTGGTAAGCTGAGCATCCAGATGCGAAAAGTCAACCGCTTATTCAACGAGACCCAGAAGAAGATGTTGTCCATCTGCAAGATCCACGCCGTACAAAGAACAACGAGTCTTATGAGCCAAAGTCCATCTTGAGCGCGATCTTTGGCATGCCGTCATCATCCCTACTAACCTCCTGCCTTCTCGGCCCTTGCCCACTCTTGAGCACTCCCTCCATAAAACTCCTCTGGTCGGCGTTCAGCCCAGTCACCACGCCCCTAAACGCCTGCTGATCCGCACTAGCGATGTCGAGTAAGCGCGCCGCAATCTCTTGGCTGGCCTTGGGCTCCTTCTGCGCCCGTGCCAACAGCGCAGGTATGATGATCTTGGTCGCAGTCTGGCGCTGTGATGATTGTGGTAATGTGGAGATGAATGTGACAAGAGTCTGTGCGAGCGTTGTGCGAGAATCGTCAAGACCCTCTACATCAGAGGGCGTCGCCAAGAAGGCGAGTGTTGGGGGAAGGATGAGTTTGGCAAGGCTCGTCTCAAGAGCGCCTTTCTTGGGTAGAAGCAGCAGTGAGCGACAGCAGCCTGCTGCTACCTTGCTCGTTGTTACCGTGCCGAGACAATCGAATAGGTCGTCGATGAAGCGCTTGACGAGCGGATCATCAGGTGAGAACGCAGAAGCGGCGGAGCTCAGTAAGATGGTAGTCGCAAGAACAGTGTTCTTCTCACATGCAAGAGCAGCGTCAAACTCACGCTGCTGCGCGTATCTGAGAATTGCGAGGAAGCGCGAAAGAGTTGCGCGGAGTTGCTTGCTTGTGTCATCCGTTCCTTCGGCATGCGGTGCGAGACTGGTGATGAAGCGCTTGAAGATCGGAAGAGCTTGAGGAATGACTGTGGTTTGGCAGGCCCCAGTGCTTAGTATGGTGGCGAAAATGTGAAGGATGCAAGCGTGAAGGTCAGCCTTGATAATCGACGGGAAGACTTGCGCGGCATCTACGAGCGCAGACAGCGCTGTTGTCAGTAGAGCGACCGCCTCTTCATTCATCTCGTGGCGCGCTGGGAGTAGAGTTAGCGACTTATTATGGCGCGATACCGGAACCAACATACCCTTAGCTTTGCTGTCTTCCAACCCAGGCACAAGTCCGGACAGGACTAGCACCATGATCTTGGTCAATTCGAATAGCTGATCAATGTCTTCGGAAAGATGCTCATCCGCGGCGGTAGTTCTATCAATGTCAGCAAACGAAATGTAGAGCTTCAGCGTATGCTTACCCTTGATCTCTGCGTGCAGATGGATGGCCAAGACACAGGTTCCGTGTGATCTCGACGATCACTGTTTGAACCGTCAAGCCTTCAGTGAGTACGAGCCGGTCTAGCATGTCCATCGTTTCAGAAAATACAACTTCTCGGTATATCGCATGACCGGATACTGAAGGGCGCAGAATCTTCTTTAGTGCCTGCAATATCTCCAGAATCTGCTCCTTAGACGCTTGCAGATCACCTGGGCGACCTGCTAATGCCTCGAAAGCGAGACCGAAGAGGACAAAGAAGAAAGCGACAGGCTCATCGCGGTAGTTGATGTGATCGGACTTCCCATTAGGGGTGGATTCTGACAATTCAGTCTTGCCATCTAAAGCGTCAAACACGAACTCGCTGTCTTCGTCGATAAGACTGGCAATGGCATCTACGAGGTTGAGCCAGGTATCTTGGTAGAACTGCACTTTGTTAGTATTGATCAAGGCTTTTGACGACCAACCATACCTTCAGAAGCGTCTCGCGGTTGAGCGCAGCATAGATTGTGTCTAGACTTCCAGATAGAGAGGCAGAACCCATGGACGAGGATATGTCGGGCTCG